GTTAGTTGTGTATTGCAATTTCACACCCACACCCACACCCTCAAGATTAATTAATAAAAATATAAAGAAAAAGGATAAATTTTGTTCATATGATTTTTGGAAATTAATAAATATATGAGAGCATTATGAACTTTTCGTCTTTTAGAATCATCAGTATGTCATTTATAACAAATAAAATATTTGAACTATTCAAGTTTTAGGGTGTGGGTGTGGTTGTATTGTTAAATTAGATCAGTTTTTATTCCAAAATCTTATATATCGTCATAAAAAAAAGTTCTCATAATAATATTACAGCTAAAACACTATATCAAAAATCCATTTAATTATTTTCATCATAATTAGTATATTTTTCGTCTCTATTTTGCGTTCTTTCTTTTTGTTTCTTTTTGTCATATCTTGTTCTTTGTAAATCTCGATGATTTACTTCCACATTATAAGTTACTTTTAACAATTCAACCAGTCGTTCAATAACAGCTACTGATCGATGTTGACCTTGTTCACATCCAGCTGCTAGTTTTATTGAATTTTTCTTTTGATTATGAATAAAAATTGATAGTTGTTCCGTAATCATTTTAATTATATCTTCATATTCCACTAAATTTAATAATTCATTTTGTATTCGTTTATGTCGTCCATCGTATTGTTGATAGTTTTCAACATTAGTTGTTGGAAAATGACGCATTGAATACAATAAAGCAATATTTTGTGAAACACCAAATGAATGACCAAATGAAATTAATTCAATAGTAATATCTTCAGCTTCAACGATTAATACCAAATTATATTTTTATAACGTTAGAAATGAATTAAACTTCGGTGTACAAGGTTGATTTTATACCATGTTAAAAGAGGAAAAACAAAGTTTCAGTAAGAAGACAGTGTCGTCAGACGATAAACATGAGTCACGATTCTGATGTTTTTGTCGTAATTACACGTGCTAAAAAAATGACGTACAATAAAGTAGATGGTTTTTATAGTTCTATACAGTACATTCTAACCTATAATAAACATTTCCGAAATTTCATAATCGATTATCATATCTAGTAACATTCTTTAAAGATCATAAAAAAATCTGTTAACATCTTTGATAAATACTTTCACCTCGATATCGAAACCACGATTTCAAGGTTGTCACAGTTATCCTAAAATGGAGTCGAATTTATATACTTTCCAAGTACAAGTGACACTAATTTATCTAGCTGATTCATTATCGATCATCAGCTGTAAAACATTTTTTAGAAGAAAACAGATCCTAACTTTCGCTTTTTCTTTGTTTTTTAATTATTCTGATATGTGAAAAAAACAATATTGAACCTCGTACCGCATTTTTTTATTATAAAAAGAGTAGATAAAATTTATCTACCGTGCGTTTCTGCCATTATATACTTATGTTTCACTTCATTTTCGGTCACTTCTATGACGAATATTGTAGAAAATGATGTACAAAACAGTTCTCTTTTACCAGATTTTTTTCACTCGTTTGTAGTGACGGAATCACCGGGGAAGCACAGCTCTTCTTAGGAAATCTGGACTTTAATTGAGCTGTTAAAATTTTGTCTTTGAAGAGTTTCAACTCGTATTCTGAATATTGAAGTGAAGTGCAGTGCTAGTGGTGGAAAGTAACTCTATTGTGCTGTTGGAAATGTAATGACAGATTTCTGCGGATTTGCAGATAGTTTCAAATGGATTTCTCTAGATTTTAAAGCCGGTTTCTACAAACTATCACTGAATGATATTTGTGACTCGATTATTACCGATACTTCATTATCTTCGTCATTATCAATATGGCTATCATTAGCATCAGTCATTTGTTTCTGATAAGTACAAATATTATAACTTATGATATTATTAACTAACAATGTACAATAGACAGACGATTGTATACAATGAATTTAAAGATTTGGATGATTCGTAGAAAATACTTTAGAAAGAAAAATATTTCGGTCAAGAACGACCTCAGCAAGTGCCGTCTATACTGACCGTCTTTATTAACTTATTGGAAATCCGAGATCGCCATCTTATTAATTTCATTATACATCACTAAGAATTCATCGGATATGTATGAAATGATGATTTATTAGAACTGAAATTGAGTTAAAAATGAAAAGCAGATAATATTTTAAAAAGCAGAAAAAAATTGAAAAAGCAGAAACGACAGAAAAAAAAGCAGAAGAGGTGGCGACCTTGTTCACAAAGTTTTGTTCAAGTTCTTAATATAGAGTGAAGATAAATGTTAGTGTGTATTGTGTAATGTTTTATAAAGGCAATGTTCGTAATAAAGTAGTAAAATATTAATGAATAAATAAAGGTTAGTCATCGATAAGTTTTAACAATGCATGAGAACACTGACGGTGGCTGAACCAAAGTTTGCAACAACAATATCGGGTTTATTGTCGTTATTCACATCGACGACTGCTACTGTCCATGGGCTAGTACCAACTGAGTAAGTAGTTTGAGCACTAAAGGTGCCGCTACCTGTGTTGAGAAGAACACCAACGGTATTTGAACCCTCGTTTGCAACAACAATATCAGGTTTATTGTCGCTATTCACATCGACGACTGCCACTGACTGTGGACTACTACCAACTGTGTAAGTAGTTTGAGCTTTAAAGGTGCCATTGCCTGTGTTGAGAAGTACACCGACGGTGCTATCGCCATTGTTTACCACAACAATATCGGGTTTATTGTCGCTATTCACATCGACGACTGCTACTGAATATGGAGAAGTACCAACTGGGTAAGTAGTTTGAGTATTAAAGATGCCATTGCCTGCGTTGAGAAGAACACCGACGGTGTTTGAACCATAGTTTGCAACAGCAATATCAGGTTTATTGTCGCTATTCACATCGACGACTGCTACTGAAAATGGCTGACTACCAACTGTGTAAGTAGTTTGAGCATTAAAGGTGCCGTTGCCTGTATTGAGAAGAACACCGACGTTGTTCGAATAATAGGTTGCAACAACAATATCGGGTTTATTGTCGCTATTCACATCGACGACTGCTACTGACATTGGGTCAGTACCAACTGTGTAAGTAGTTTGAGCTTTAAAAGTGCCATTGCCTGTATTGAGAAGTACACCGACGGTGATATCGCCATTGTTTGCAACAACAATATCGGGTTTATTGTCGCTATTCACATCGACGACAGCTACTGACTTTGGATAAGAACCAACTGTGTAAGTAGTTTGAGCACTAAAGGTACCGCTGCCTGTGTTGAGAAGAACACCGACGGTGGCCGAACCCCAGTTTGCAACAACAATATCGGGTTTATTGTCGCTATTCACATCGACGACTGCTACTGACTGCGGGGAAGAACCAACTGCGTAAGTAGTTTGATTAAGAAACGTACTGCAGCCTATTAAATACAAAAAACTTGTTCTTACATCTGTACTAGTATATAGATAGTATTCAATCGTCGTATTTTATTCAATCTTTGAGAGTTTAACTTAATTAAACATAATTTATTCGAAAAGATCATGTCACTGGATTTTGGGCAATTTCAAATATTCTAGAGCACAACTAAAGTCAATTTTTGGCGATTCTGTCCATCCCTACGTGAAATCGTCTTGTAAATTTAAAAAATTCATGAACTCATCTAACTCTAATTAAAACTTGCGCTCCCTTTAATAAAGTTTCATGATATCCTCGACTAGGAGGACGCAAAATACTTTCAAAACAGAACTCAGAATGCCGTAGATTTTTTCAGAGTTTTATTTCAACATATATATCATTCCTTTTTTTTAAATGCATTATCATATGAAATTCTATAAACAATATGATAACTCTGTGTCACATAAACCAACAATATTTCTACAAAATTCTAAGTTTTACTTTTCAAGGATTTTACAATTACCTAAGCACTCATACCCTATTCTCGTTCTCGTCGAGAACAGCTCAACAAAAATAAGTTATGCGTTTGCGTTATTGCGGGTCTGTTTTTCAGTGTTTGGCATAGGTATCGATGAAGTTAAAAGCGCTATCACAACAGAGATTACTAGAAGTTGTACCATTAAGTCAAACTAAGCATTACACATTTTAATTATTATAAGTTGTATTCTCTAATAACTACTCTACAAATGGATGTACTTTTCCGATTCAATTACTGTTCTCTCGAGACTGTATACATGCAAAAAAAGTTGGCGTCAGTATTAACTCTACTTTATTTTGGAATTCACAAAATTTCCAAGAAACAGCAATTGTATTCAAAAGTAAGTCAGTTAGTAGAGTAAATATGGAAGAACACAAATCACAATCCATAAAACTTATAGCACTTAGCCTGGTTTATTAGCACAACATATAATAGACTACGATACAATTTCGATTTTGACTCGGTGCAGCTCCACACTGATTGATCGAAAATCAACCGGAGAGAAAAAACGAAGGACGCAGATAGACGCGACTAAATACGGGGCCGGCCAAGAGTGCCTAAAGGAAAGGCAACAACAACGAGGCTTAGTTCGTGCTGGCAAAATCCTCATTATACTACTATACTCTATTGCTATTTTACTATTGACGGTTTTTTCTAAAAAAACAGTAATCGTCAGTGATATGTTCGAATCAATGTCAGTTTTTTTAATGTCGGCTCTTGCAGTGGAGGTCTCTAGTATCAGCATGATGACTACAAATTGTTAAGTCAAAAAATAACACTCTTACAAGAGACAACTGAGCGAATCTCTACACGATCATTATTTGTTCATCGAAGTGATAAACATTTGAACAGTAAAATCTCGAGCGTTTTTTAGTTTTTGGAAGTAATCCTCGGTATGGAAGCTACAAAAAAATTACAACACATTATCTAGCATATTACTGACCGACTGTAGTTGCTGCTGGTGTTGTTGATGTTGTAGATGATGTTGATGATGAAGTGGTTGATGTTGTTGACGATGTGGATGATGTTGATGATGAAGTGGATGATGTTGTTGACGACGTGGATGATGATGATGATGATGTTGTTGATGATGATGTTGTTGATGATGATGATGTTGATGATGATGATGAAGCAGTTGTTGTTGTTGTTGACGATGTGGATGATGTTGATGACGACGTTGTCGTTGATATTGATGATGATGTTGGTGTTGTTGACGGTGATGTTAGTGCTACTGGGGTTGTTAGTACTACTGGTGTTGTTGCCGGTGATGTTAGTGCGGCTGGGGTTGTTGCAGCTGACGTAAGTGCTGCTGGTGTTGTTGCTACTGACGTTAGTACTGCTGGTGTTGTTGCCGGTGATATTAGTGCTGCCGATGTTGTTGATACTGTAGTCGGTTCTGTTTTAGACAAATGAGATTGCAGGTGTGGGCATGGGTGTGGTTGCGGCGCTTCTTCAATCTCTATACCCATATCCTCAATATGAATTTGAGAATGGAAAAAGATCCGTACCCACACCCACACCACCTAGTAGGTCATGAAAATCTTTTCTAAAAACTTATACTAATTATATAAATAAATATGTACAAATGCATCGATATATATATATATATCGTATATTTAAACATAACATACACATATCATATATATAATATATGAAAGCTTTGAATTACTTTGTAATTCATTTCCAGCATGAACTTATATTGGCGTTTAGCTATTTGATCGATTTCTAAGAGATAAGACTAAGTCGGGCAATAAAGAATTGACCTATTCATTTATCTGATTATAATATTGTTTGTGCTATTCTAAAAGTAACTCTATGAATATACTGCTCGTGATACGTAATATACAGCTAGTACGAGATTTTGTGAATCGTTTTGTTCGATCAATATAAGAAAAAAAAGAAGAGTTTTTTCTTTTCAATATAGCTTTCCTAAATAATTGTAGTTGTACTTACCAAGTGGAATTCGTGTTCCATCCATAACAATCATAGTAACAGTGTCCGTGTTCATCACCAGATTGCCGTTTTGGTTTGATATGTCAGCAAATAATTCACAATTAGATGATGATTTATGAAAACTAATTGCTTTACAATGGACTTCAGCTAAACAAGCCATTTCACAGTTGTCAATGCTCGACACACTGAAAGTGGCAACTGGTAAACAAGTTGTGTTGGAGCATTGCAATTGCCAACCAGCCATTTCAAATAAATGAAATGATCTTATATCTTGTGTGTCTGATTGTGTAAAAAAAAGAAACAGAAGAAATAAAAGATTCCTTCTCCACATCATAACCAACAAGAATGTTAGTGAAGAAATAAATTTAACTGTAAATGAAATGTATTGTGAAGACATAGCATTAAATACCTTTTCAGTTTCTCTCTCTTTTTCTTTTTTCTCTTTTTTTCTAACATCATAGATATTTTTTTATTTCAGCAGAATGATGGAAAAAAATGTTTGCACTTTTTTTTGTTAGGATTGTGCAGTAGAGGTTAACTTCGAACAAGTCATGCATCTAGTATGATGATTTTCTTTTGCGTAGTTGATGTGCAGGCAGAAAAGAAAAATACGTATATCTTGAAATCTTGTTTTATATGAAAACAATGATCACTTCATTTGTTTATAATATGAGATCACTTTATATTAAATTTAATTCCATATATCAACATAAGAAACATTTTATCAAACAAATCAATCAAGTGAAACTACTTTTCAGTACTCTAAAGTAACTTCAATAATTCTTCATCTTCAAAAATAATCAGACATTCCTCGTCAAATAAAATATGTCTCGTCCAATAGAATGATGTCTGTTCTTTTTTATCAATTCTACGTTGCTATAATATAAAATGTGTACACAACACAAAACTATCTAAAGATAATTTCATTTTTTTTCCAAAGAACCGTTAAATTAAAATACACTGTGCAACGTTGTTCGTCTGTTATAATCAGAATAATTTAAACTGCATCGTCAAAGAAAACTGTGTATTACAAAAAAAGGATGGCAACAAATATCTGCTGATGTTAGAAAAAAAACACCGTTACTATGCCGTTAGAAAATTAACAATAATGTTTATAAAGTCTTTACTTTTTTCTATACATTTTATTTAACAAAGTAAATGCAAATACTCTTTAGAGTTTTGAATATATTGTTCATGAGTCTATGAATCCGTAAGATCTGAGCTAGTGAGAAAATTCTTGAACCATTTCTCCGTATTACGACTATGTCTCTTTCCTTTGATACATCATAGATATTTTTTTATTTCATCAGTATGATAAAAGAACTAATCATGATTGAATTGTTTTGTAAGATTGTGTAGCAAACTTCATCTTAAAAAAACTACTTTTAGAAATAGAATATTTTTTCGTAGTTAATGTGCAGGTGGAACACAAAAGTGTATATATCTTAAAATCTTGTTTTATGTAGAAAATAATCAGTTTACTTGTTTATAATATGTCAATACTTTAAGTTTAATTTAATTCCATATGATAACATAAAAAACGCTTTACGAAATAAATTAATTTACCTTCAAATGAAATATATCCCGTCAAAAAGCATGGTGCCTGTTCTTTCTTTTTTTCTGTTCTACGTTGCTATAATATAAAATGTGTACACAACACAAAAGTTGTTTCAAGATAATTTGATTTTCTTCACAAAGAAACGTTAGAAAAAAAATCTTTGTGCAACGTTGTTCGTCTATTATAATCAGAATAATGGAAATTACATCGTCAAAGAATACTGTGTATTACAAAAAAAAAGATGGTAATAAATATCTGTTGATGTTGGAAGAAAAATAGCGTTACTATGTCGTTAGGGAAAATTAACAATAACGTTTATAACGTCTATACTTCCTTTATACATTTTGTTTAGCAAAATTAATCCAAATACTCTTAAAGTTTTTAATATATATTCTATATCATTGCAATATGTTTTCTTTTGTTCACTAATCTTTTGAATCCATAAGATCTAAGCTTGTGAGATAATTATTGAACTATTCCTCCATATGACAATTATAAGAAATAACAAACGCAGAATACATAAACTCTACATTCGAAATTCACAGAATAGAAGGCATCCATAATACTCCCGAAATTTTAACCACCTAGGAAACTCACAATTTATGAAGACGAAGAATTGTAAAAACTTTACAAGCACAAAAAACAACGTTTTCTTCACTTTTGCAAGTCAACAAAAATAATTTTGAATAAATAGATATACATAAAGTTATTATTCAATAAAGAATATAATAATTTTTTTAAATTTTATTTTGTATTAAACAGACGAGAAAAAAGAAAAAATATATATGCCAAAGATAATGAATATTGTAACGGGAAGGCCTTTCGAATTTTTTCTTCTTTATCAAGCTAGTTTAATAATGGTCGTATATTTTTATAATAAGTACAAGTAACGCTCATCCGATGGATTCGCTGACCCTTTTCTGGAAGAAGATTTCCTATGTTTATCATTAAAATAATCTTGATTTTGAATACATGCCAATAAAGGGGGCCTGGGCAGGTTCTACTCACTATAAAACCTTGATCGAACATGGTTCATTTTTAATTTGAGGAATAAACGATCAGTCACAGCCGTATATCTCATTTGTTGAAAAATTGACTCAATTCGAAGAGATTAAGGAGTTGTGATGCTGCATATTCGAGAATTCTTACACTTTAAAAATAATCTGAGCAAAGTAACCTTAATATTCTCGAATCATCAGGAAAATTGATGTTATGAAAAAAATTGATCCTCTTTCCAAAGTGTGTTCAGCAAGTTTAATAACACAATCAAACAGGGATATGTTTGGGATCACCTCGAAACATCATTATTTGACAGAAAGATATTCATTTAAAATGATATCATCTCAAACAGCTCCTAAATTTTTTAGAGCCGTACAACTGCATATGTGTTCTAGCTCACGCTACAACAAGCAAATAACGCCATGTTTACATTCACAAGTTCTTGATTGAATAGGTCTTGTTACGTCAAATATGTAGTAAAGATTTATTACTAGCTTAAGAACTGAATCACTCAGCAATTTTTCATAAAACATTAAATCTTACTTATTACACTTACAGAGGTCGTAGCGGCATGTGTTTCAATATCAGGAAGCAGGGCGGGAATTTTTTTTTAAATCAGGAATTTTCATAAAAATCAGGAAAGGTAAACTTTCTTCTAATATCGCTTTTCTCGAGTAAAATCGGCGTCAAAGAAAGTGCAGTAATAACAGCTTGTAACAATCAAAATACAGGTTACTACAAGTAAACACTAAAGCTGTTTAAAACAGTATGAATCATATATAAACTTATTGTTTTATTCAGGTTTATATACTTTCCGTTCTCTTCTATTGTCATACTTCAACTTTGTGTTTTTATACTCTGCATATATAAGACAACTGTTATCTTATATTGATTTGATTTTGAAAAATTGTATCCCTTTAACTAAATATTTTCTGATGCCGACAAATACAAAGTTTTGTTCAAAATGGTTGCAAAACTCAGATAATACTGGTAGAGTGAATTCTCGATGGCTTAAACAAGGTAAAACTTCTAGTTCATTTCAATGTATCGTATGCAATTCAGGTAATTTTAGTTGTACTAATGGAGGATGGGCTAATTTAAAGAGGCATTTTAATCGACCAAAACATATTAAATGTATGAAAGATGTGTTTGATTTTACTTTACTTACAACATCAAATAATCAATCATTACTTTTATCGAAAAATAAGAATGATAATAGTACATGTGTAGGTACAGGATCTATTGATAGAAATACAACGAGAATACCTTTTGTTATTGTTGAGATAGAACAACGAGCATTAACACATGATGATAGTAAGTATCTGCAATTACTATTCACTATTTTATAGTATTTTTCGATGTCATTACCTAATGTATATGATGATAGAAAACCATCAAAGTATGAGAAAAAATCTGACTGGATAATGTTAGATACTCTAATGTAATCATAGAGAGGAGCAAGGAAAAAAAACAATAATAAATATATCAGAGACACGACGCTTTAAAGGAAGAAGAAAATAATATACCGATCACGACATGGACATTTAGAAGAAAAAGAAATCGAATTATTAAAATAACAAAAACGTTTACAACAAGATTTAGTGAGTGCAACGAAAATGTTGAAAGAAGGAAGTACAAGACTTGTCACGGTCGTAAATAGTAAAGATTTAATTGATGTTAGTACAGCTAGATTACTTGTAACTGCTGCTAATGCTAAATTATATATTTTGAAAGCTCAATTACTTGAGAATAGTGAAAATTTAAACCGATTGAGAAAAAACAGAAAAATGAATAATGAATAATGAAAGTAAACATTATTTTTAGAAATTGTATTGTTTTTGTTAAAGATATTGTATAATATATAATATCTTAGTGTGCATTTTGAAAATAAATTATGTTAAAGTATGAATATGAATAATTTTGAGATTTTAATCAACTTAAATGAAAAAGTAAGTAATGTAGTTATATTGAAAGTCTAATTTAATGGAAATTTTCGATCTTCATTCGATCATTATCAACCTTTTAACACAACCTTATAACTGATGTTAACAAACAAAAAGAAACTTAAAAATATATGAACATGAAACATGGGTGTGGGTGTGGATATAGGCGGGGTGTTAGTTGTGTATTGCAATTTCACACCCACCCGACGAGACAGACGAAACAAACAAAAGAAAAAAGCAAAAAATATGTTTTATTTGTTTCAGTGAAGTCAGATGTCGTTGTCTAAAGTCATTAGGTGGCGGAGCTCATGTTTTAATGCAGCTATCTCTTCTTATAGATTATGTACTTGCTGCTTTTGTCCTGGTGTCATCATGTGTAGCTCCACGTTCTTCATCAATCCTTCTAATTAGAAGGTTTTTTTAGCGAAGTCGAAGGCCAGGTGATTCTTCTAAAAATAGAAAAAGATTGAATACTGAGTAGCAACGTGTATTGATTATATTTTTATGACAAACAATGTAACACATACATGGTTAGTGTCAATAGCCATTTTCGGTTATTTTAGAAATTTCTAGTGTATTCCTTTCTCTTTATCGTGTCTTATATAGGTGTTAGTGTTCGTCGGTTACGCTTAAACAAATAATAGGCTCATTTCATGGAAAAAAATTCAATGCACAATACCATGAATATTAGTCATGCTCATCCGACAAGAATAATGGTTAAGGTCATTGTAAACAAAGAGAGAACAAGAACAAAAAATATTACTAATGAGATCTGGACGGTAATTACTTAAAAGATAAAAATAAAAAAAAAAGTATTTACTTGTGCTAACTTGCATTGTATGTGCAAGGTTCTATAATGGTTATCATCAACATAAGCTGCATAATGTATCGGATGATTCATCGTCGATATTTTATTTCATACGAAACAACAAATTGTATATGTATCAATAGAAGTAAATTGTATATAGCTTGTTCAAAATAAACTATATGAATAATCCGAAATAAACTATATATATATTACTATAAATTAATTGTACGTAAACTAGGGTGTGGGTGTGGGTGTGGGTGTGAGTGGATGTAACTGTGAATAAACATTTAAAAGACTCATATTCAGCCAGGTGCACCACACCCACACCTACAAACCCTTGGGAACACCAACAGTCAGCTGCTCCACCTGTAAACCCTTGGAAACAATAACACTCAACTGCTCCACGTGCAAACCCTCCCTATACTCCCCTACACCTCTCCTGCTAAGTGTTGACGAGACTTACCGCTGGAACCGAGTAGCCACATGTATAGTTGTACGGGATAATGATCAGTACTGTTATAATATGTGTAATAGGAACTTTGTGCAAAATGCGATGTCATTCCTAGCGAAAGAAAAAATGAAAGAGACGGAGTGTAATTATAGGCTTCTTTATAAGCCTCGAGTAACTTCATTGATTGGTGGTTCAAAATGTCTGCCATATTGATACTCATTCTTGTTGCTGCTGTTACATTACCGAGTATCATTTCTGAGAGTAACTTGTCTTCTAATATTGAGGATCGTTTGGACATATTACTAGCAATAAAAATTTATCAACTACATCAGCAAAACGAATATGATATGATAAAACCTTACCGAAATTTGATGGAACGTAGGAAGCAAGACAAAATATCAAACACTAGATTGAACTTGTAGCAGGGAATGGTTTAATAGATAGATGATAGTTGTGGCTGACATTTGAATGCTTTATATATGTGCCGTTCACAAAGACAACAAAAACTCTGGCCACTAGATACTTAAATACAACAATAACATCTATTCATGATATGATATGAATCAAGATCAACAACAATGACAATACCTGGAAAACATCACGAAAACAAATATCTTTCAGCTGAAAACATATGATGTCATCTGATATGATATGACATATTATATCACATGAACCCATCTTGGGTGTGGGTGTGAGTGTAGGTGTGGGTGCGAGTGTGGGTAGGGGTGTGGGTGCGAGTGTGTGTGAAAATATCGGTAAGGTTGTGGGTTACGGTGATGGTTTCGTTGTGCTTGTCGATGTCAGTGAATACAAGATACCCACACCCACTTCATATCTACACCCTCGCTCACTAGGGACCTGCGGAGTACTCCGAAACCCGATTATGACTCCGACTCCGGCGGAGTCGAAGTGGGAGTCGTGGAGATGAAATTTTTCGGAGCCGGAGTCGGGTTTCGGGGTCAAAAAAGTTGACCCTAGAAGTTGCTTTTTGTTAACAAAATTTCGGAGTTATTCGGAGTTTTTCGGAGTCGGAGTCTGAGTCGCAGTTAAAAAAAGTTAACTCCGCAGGTCTCTATCGCTCACACGCACACGCGTTCGCATACGCTTAAATGGCGTTATTCATTTCATTGGACATTGTCATTGAAAATGTCTGAATGTGCGGGCTTATATATCTTTTTATCATTTCTTTTGTTGTTATCATATATAAGGCAAGATTTTAAATAGATGAATCACGATGAATAAATAAAATATTTTTTTTTTGTTATCTACATTACAGTCTGAGAAAACGGCGCGGGTGTATATATTCTTTTTATTTTTTGTCAAAGAAAAAAATATTTTTAATTTTGAGGGTGGGGAGAATATTGACTCAGAACATCATCCACAATCTCATTAGAGTTGTCAAATCCAAATTTTAGAAATCAGGATTTTTTTCGAGTAAAGTCAGTTGTTGATTAAGAGACTTCGTGCCTGATACCGTATTATGAGGGATTAAATGATTATTTTCAATGATTCCTATTAATATTTTTTCTAGTAGAAATCTGCAATACGATATGAGCAATGTTTAACATAACTTGTATTAAATATAACAATGAGATTTTTTTTTGCATTATATGATATAATAATTAAAATATTTTCACGTTTAATACGTTGAAGTTTACTAATTTTATCAGTTGTAATAGTTGTGTTATGATCAAAAAATTCTAATAGATTACTATGAGATGGTGGAATTGATTCTAATATTCCATCATGATTTAAATAATTATGTATATCACGTAAAGTTGTTTACCAATAATTTCATCATGTATACAAAAGAATTATATTTAGCTCATAATAAAGATTCTAAACGATTAAAATAATATGAACCACGTGCATAAATATCTTT